AGTTGCCTACTAATCCATATTGTAAGTCTATGGAATGCAATCCAATCCATATACTTATAAATAACCCTGACAAGTTCTTAGATAAATATGGTAATTTATTTGGGTTTCAAATATATGGGACGGGTTTAGACCCTGGGACAATATTGTTTATAGGGATAGAGTCTGATACGGTAACCTCCCAAACTCATCAAGTATACCATTCCTTTTATGAAGAGATGAGCATAGATAATAAGATCCCCATAATGCTAAAAACTTGTTCATTGATTTAGCCGAGAGTATTGCCGGTAGTCTTAATGTTACCAACTGCTATGTGTGTGGAGGTACTAACATGGGAGACCAATGGCCTTGGGAAGCAAAGGAGGTAATGTCCGGTTCTGAGGCAGTTGACCAATTAATATCTACACAAGCCGACTATCATATGAGTGTTAGAGGTAAATCTGAGTGGAGATTGAAGACCTCCATCATAGGTTATGTTTGCATAGCGAGGAAAGGAATGATGTATAATACTTCTGTAGGAGAATTAACTTGTCTAGGGCAAAAAGCTTATGATGATGATACAAAGAATACAACTTGGTGGTCGGCTTCAAATGTCTCAGAACCATCTAACCCGCTTGCAAGATATGCCAATTTAAAGGACGTATGGTTTGATCTATCCATCACATCTAACTGGAGAGCCCCAGCGAATTTGTACTGGATCTGTGGTAAGAAGGCCTATTCGGAGTTACCACAGGACTGGGAAGGGGTATGTGTGTTGGGTATGTTAAAACCATCCTTCTTCTTGTTGCCTATTGAAACAGGTGAGACTTTAGGTGTTAAAGTGTATGATGTGAATCATAGGAAGAAAAGGGGACCCATAGAGATAGGTGCCTGGGAAGATAATGAATGGCCTCCCCAGCGTATTATAGATTATTATGGGCCAGCCACGTGGGCAGAGGATGGTACCTTTGGTTATAGAACCCCTATTTATATGCTCAACCGCATTATAAGGTTACAGGCGGTGGTTGAGATCATTACTAACGAGACATCACAAGCGCTCAATCTTCTAGCGAAGCATAATACCAGGATGAGGACAGCAGTTTACCAAAATAGATTAGCCTTGGATTATCTTTTGGCAGTAGAGGGAGGTGTATGTGGGAAGTTTAACCTGAGCAATTGCTGTCTTCAAATAGATGACGAAGGGCAAGCAATAGCTGAGCTTACTAGCCATATGGTTAAACTAGCGCATGTGCCTACTCAGGTATGGAAAGGGTACAATCCAAGTAGTTGGTTTGGTAGCTGGTATGAGTGTTTTGGAGGGCTTAAGGCAGTGGTAGGTGGAGTCCTACTGATTTTAATGTTGTGTCTACTCCTGCCGTGTCTTATACCCTTAGTAGTTAGGTCTGTGCAAAGGCTGATAGAAAATATAGCAGAGAGGAAGGCTGCTGCACAGATAATGGCAATTTATAAATATAAGGCTCTAGATCAGGGAGAACCAATGCAGGAAGACGAGTGTTGAAGATTCACATCGTAGGATAAGTCTGGTCTGGTCCAAAGGTAACTTGTGGTGTATGCAAACCAAGGTTAAGTGATGCCTCAAGTAATTGTAAAATATCAAGAGGCATCAAAGGGGGGAATGTGGTGGAATCTCAGTAAAAATAAATTTAGTAGGCCGAGATTACCACGTGGCATGTGTACGTGCATATGCTGACGTATCGATCAGTTGGTTGCACGAGGCAAGATACGATCAGTAGTGTACGGAGCATGTGCAAGAATACAGGATGTAGTATTCCCCCCCTCCATTGTGCTGGACAAGCCATGCGGTCAAGCAGGAAGTTAATTCTTATTTGTAATGATTGGTCAAGAGAATGTGCGGGTGGAGCTTAATATGGGAGGAGTTATGTGCCTATATAGGAAGCCTGCACTATTGTTCAGGGCTCAGAACTTGCTGTATTTTTTGGTGACATTAGTCCCTCTGAGTCCCGATCGGTGATCCAATAAAGAATCTCTTCCTTCCTGAAGAAACCTGTGTCCATCCCTCTGTGCTTTGCTTCCGTCAGTTTCTCCGGTATCAATGGCCAACACAACGAAACACTCTATGAGTCAAGCAAGCATGAAAGGCAAGAGATGGAGGGAGAGCTTCGAGACCAAATTCAAGACACTGTGTAAGAAGTTTTGGCAGAGCATAAACAGCTGAAAGTGCACTTCTACCTCACCCGTCACATCAGTGCTTCCTGCAACCACTCGGACTCATTACACTTCATCTGGGCTGAGGGCCCACGTGGAAATACGTCCACACCGCCAGCCGAGTTCCCCAAAGAGTTCTCTGCAGAGGAAAAACTAAACGGGCATGCGATCCCTCCAAGAGGAGAAAAAGGATCCCTGGACACGAGGCACCGGCTCCCCAAGCGGTCTGGGCTAGAAGTGGAGAGCGAGACTATTCTTGTCGTCTGTTCCACAGGCCAATATACACCAGAATCATCTGCTGATGGCAGGAGGAGATAAAGCACTGCCTGGTACCAAGCCATCCTTTCTGGTCTGGCGCATTAGTGGCATTGGCTGACTGCAATTTACTTACTTATTTCTGCAAATACCGTTAGGCTCTGCATTAAAGTCCGTTTATCTACCTTTTTATTTCCTGTGTATTTTTCCCCCCATGATATTCAGTCCCATTGAGTTTCCGGCTTCTTGGATATTGATGTGTGATATCTGCCTATTTACATGTCTAACTCTTTAATCTCTTTATGAACATATACTTAAAGCCAAGTTTAGATGTGTATACCTAGCATGTTCACACAGTATGTTTATATGCTTCTCCTAACCCTTTTAAAATGTGCATGTACTCGCTAAATGCCCTACCACATGTAAGCTATGTACTTCAACTCCCTTGTAAACTGCTGTTGGGGTATGACAAGACTGTATGTATAACCTTGCACAGCAAAAAAAAAGAATATTTAAGATGTGGTCTTACCAGTGATTTGTAAAGAGGCAAAATTAAATTCTCATCACAAGAATTAATGGCCCTGTTCATACAAGACAATACCTTATTGGCCTTAGAAACTGATGATTCACATTGCACATTGTCGCCTTGTTTGTTGTCTATAACAATTCCCAAATCCTTCTCGTCTGTTATTTTCCCTAACTCACTACCGTTTAGGGTATAAGTTGCATGCGCATTCTTTAACCCGAAGTGCATAACTTTGCATTCTTCTACATTAAATTTTAGGTAAGAAAATGCACAGCAATATTTATATGCCAGACAAGGAGGCATACAAATTTAACTAAAGTAGGCAATAATCTCCAGCCATTTCTGAAGTTGAAGGTTTGATTAAATCAGTTTCCATTTCCAAATACTTGCAAATTATTTTGGAGGAAAAACATATCAGCACACAGGTATGGTAATGGCTGGCACATGTAGGCAGCTCTAACATTGAAAAGGACACTCAAAGAAGATTAACTGCTTCAGCTGTTTTTTTTTTTTTGTTTGGTTTTTTTAATCAAGGGATTCCTGGTACACAAAACCTGAGAAGTCCTATGCGGAAATTTCCCTTCCTCGTTATCCATCTAACACTTTGTATGGCATGGACATGCACTGTGTACTCCCACTATACACTGGAAGATTCAGGGTAATTATGATGATCTGGTAGCTCCAGAAGATTCATTAGAGATTTGGCCACTACATTGTAAAAGCGGTAATTCAAAATGGCTGAAACATCCCAACATCCCATTAACCAGCAGCATTTAGAGACTAGATACACAGCATCAGACTGCGTGCTCATGTCACACAAACAAGTAGATAGAGGATGAGGAAGTGAGATTTCATTGTTGGGGAATTCTTAGGTTTTGTTTGTTGTTTTTTGTTAAACCGCATTATCACAATTTGAAAAATAATACACGGGGCTTTTTATAATTACTATAAAAAGCTGTAAGGTATAGATGTTTGAATTGTACCTTAAAGCAATTAGCTTGGACTCTGATTGCATGGGGCCCTTATGGAAAAGGTTGTTTGGAGACAGCTTAATAAGTATAACCTAAACATGGTTTGATGATGCCCATCATCCCCCCAATCTTTTAGCTGGGAGCCCCAGGGGTCTTGTCCTGAATCTGTTAAAGGGGGTTTGAATGCTAATAGTGTCAGCAAGTAGGACTGCTGCTCAGTGACTGTAATGATGGTAAACAGTTTATTTACTCAATTTTTCTTCGTAGATCCCCTTTCAGCTATCTGTGAGATTGAAAGTGAAAGGCAGTTAATATCTCTCGGCAGATCCTCCAATGAGGTTGTTTTATCCTGTGAATTTCTTGGAGATTAGGAAGCATCCATCCATGTGTCTGGCTGCATATAGCTGACGGGAGCCTTTATTTTATGACATTTTGCCAGGCCCCTGTGCATCCGCTGTGAATCGCCTTCTCTGCTTCCCTTATGCTGAGCATTCGGACATCACAAATACCATGGATTATCCCAGTAAAAATATAGATTAATGATTTTCTGAGCTGCTATTTTTTTTTTCCACTTGTTAAATCCAGATTTTTCCCTTTCATCTTGCAGAGACTTGCGCTCAAACACAGAGACAACTTTTTAGCACAAGCTCTGATGTTTGCAGTTTCTTTATTATTTATTTTATTTGCCAGAATAGGTAATCTATGTGAATATTACCATGATAAGTAAAAATCACCAGGCAATAAGAATGACAGGAGTAGGGGGAAATGAGTAAGGCATAAGAGGGGATGAGGGAGAGAGCATAAGCACAGGAATAGAGGAAAGAAACACAGTAATTGGGAAAATCGAAATAAATACTTGTGGTGGAGATGGGGGGCGATACAGGGGATGGAGGAGATGGGGAGAGATACAGGGGATGGGGGAGATACAGGGGATGGAGGAGATGGGGAGAGATACAGGGGATGGAGGAGATGGGAAGAGATACAGGGAATGGAGAAGATGAGAAGAGATACAGGGGATGGAGGAGATGGGGAGAGATACAGGGGATGGAGGAGATGGGAAGAGATACAGGGGATGGAGGTGATGGGGAGAGATACAGGGGATGGAGGAGATGAGAAGAGATACAGGGGATGGAGGAGATGGGGAGAGATACAGGGGATGGAGGAGATGGGAAGAGATACAGGGGATGGAGGAGATGGGGAGAGATACAGGGGATGGAGGAGATGGGAAGAGATACAGGGGATGGAGGAGATGGGAAGAGATACAGGGGATGGAGGAGATGGGGAAAGATACAGGGGATGGAGGAGATGGGGGAGAGATCTGGGAGATGGAGGAGATTTGGAGAGATGAAAGAGGGACACATAATGATGAATTATTATTTTTAATTTACACATTTTTGGCATTTATATAGCGCCAACTGATTCCACAGCACTTTACAATATTATAAAGGAGGAAATTTAACAATTAATAAGACAATTACAAAATGTAACAGAAACAATTGGTTCATGAGGATCCTGCTCAAAAGAGGTTACAGTCTAGAGGAGGTGGGTTATAAAACATACAGGAAGGGTATCGAAGAAGAGAGCAACCAAACGACAAGGTGGGAAAGTAGTAGAATGGAAAGGTGAGAGTGGAGAATAGCCAATTAAGAGAGAGCAAGAGACAGATTTGTGAAATAGACGTTACTCTGGAAGTCCATAGGCTTTTCTGAAGGGATGAGTTTTCAGGGATTTCTTAAATGATTAAAGACTAGGGCAGAGTCTGATGGTGGTAGGAAGACCGTTCCAAAGGCTTCTTCTGCAGAGTTCTGCAAGCACGAGTTAGCAGTAAGGCTGAGACCAGCAGACAGAAGAAGGTCACCAGCTGAGCAGTGAGACCAAGGGGCATAAGTACGAATTAGAGAAGAAATATAACAGGGGCTAGAGTTGCTTAAAGCTTTATAGGTAAAGGTTAGTATTTGAATTGACTCCTATAGGATACAGGAAGCCAGTGTCAAGATTGACAGAGGGGCAAGGTTTAGGAGGAATGACAGGAGAAAAAAAATCAGCCTTGCGGCAGCATTCATTACAGACTGTAGTGTGGTAGTACGGTTTCTGGGGAGACCAATTTGAAGGGAATTACAGTAATCAATGTGAGAAAATAGTGTATGAACAAGCCTCTTAGCAGCCTCTTGTGTAAGAAGTGCCTTAAAACCCATCTCTTTAGGAAAGCTTATGGCCTCCCATAGTAACCTCTACCTTACATACCTGTCTCTTGCGCTCTCCTAAAGGGCAGCACTTTACTCTCTCCTCCAGCTCTGCTTCACTCCCACCTTGTTTGATTGCTACTACCTGTCCTAATGTGTTTTATACCCCACCTCCTATAGACTGTAAGCTCGTTTGAGCAGAGTCCTCTTCAACCTATCATTACTGTAAGTTTTCTTGTAATTGTCCTATTTATAGTTAAATCTCCCCCTCTCATAATATTGTAAATCGCTACAGAATATGTTGATGCTATATAAATGGTAATAATGATAATAAGACGAAGAAGAAAGGGGCAGACGTGGGCAATGTTTTTAAGGTGGAATCGGCAGAATGTGGCAACAGACTGGATGTGAGACATAAAAGTGAGGCCAGAATGAAAAATAAGACCAACACCGCGATCTTGTAAGGACGGGCTAATGAGGTTCCCATCAACTTGCAGGGAAAGCGAAAGAGGAGGATCAGTGTGGCGAAACCGACCTCGCCACTGGGCATTGGAGAAGACTGATTGCCAGCCTCCTGCCATGTGACTATGGCCCCTGGGATGTATTGCCCTTTAAAGACATGATTTGGGCATAATGGATTTGTGTTGTGCTGCTGCTGGCCCTTAAAGAACCACCTGGGGACATACTGTGGAGTTACTGGGTGGCCACCATTTCATGTATCAGAGGCACATGGTGAGAACAATGGATGAAGCACATGGTGAGAACAATGGATGGCGGCCATTTTAACTCACAGACACTGTGTGGACTTTTCAACACGGTGCCATCTCGCTGGTATTTGGTGCGCAGAGACATCATGCAGTGGTTTTGGACTATACAACAGGGGACACATTGTGCAGTAATTGTTTTTCATATAGCCTGCATATGTTCTGTGGAATATGCATTAAACTGTATCTTCCAAAGTACTAAACGGATCTGGGTGAATTTTGGATATGTGGTTCACCCAGATCCCCCGGTTCCGATGATATACTGTGGGGTTGTTGCATGTTTTGGGGTCCCTGTGATATGTTTTGTAATACTGTATTTCTCTGCCTGTGATAATTAGATTAACCATTGTGTTCAGTAATCATATCACAGGCAGAGGGGAGGATTTTGTGTGGGAGTGTCTGTGTGTATTGTACGGATTGATTGGCTGTGTTTCAAAACCCTGTGGGCAGTACTATATTTGTGGATTGTGTATGTGCCAGATCAGTCAGTTCTGCTTGACCTCAAAACGAAGTGTCGTCTCGTTATTGGGGGATTGGATTGTATGCCGATTGCCAGGAGCGTAAGCTGATTGTATGCTTTTCCTGTTCAGCTGCTTACAGCATTCATATGCTTGAGAGCATTCGAATGCTTCTCCGGTTCGGTGGTTGTGGTGTCTGCTGCAGTGCTTGGAGTCCTCAGGAAGCGCTAGGAGCATCCTACAACGGAGGTGCCCAGTCGGGGTGCAGGTGATCCATTACAATCAGCTATATGAGGAGAAAAAGAAAGAAGCTCAGTTTTGGAGAGATTGAGTTTCAGAAAACGGGGGAATATCCAATTACAAGTGGAAGAAAGGCAACCGGTGAGAGATCAGGGGAGGAGAAATATATCTGGTTGTCATGAATACAGGTAGTAGCAGAATCCAAAGTAATTAATATGTTTGCTAAGAGAGGCAGTATAAAGAGAAAAAAAAGAAGGCCAAGAACAGAGCCTTGGGGGACTCTAACCGAGACAGCATTAGGGGAGGGTGTGTTTTTAGGAAAGGAGACACTGAATGAATGTTGGGAGAGATAGGAGGAGAACCATGAGAGAACAGTGTCACAGAGACCAAGGGAGAGTTTGAAGAAGGAGGACATGGCCAATAGTGTCAAAGGCAGCATAGAGGTCAAGAAAAATTAGTATAAAATAGTGGCCTTTGGATTTAGGTGAGACTAAAAAGTCCAGATAGAAAAGATGTATTTATAATTACACAGAAATACAAAGCCGCATTTACAAACTAAAGTGAGAAATGTCAGGAATTTGATGTGAATTCAAAATGAATTTCACATTTAAAGGGTTACTCCAACCAAAACCTGTGTTTTCATAAAACACTGGGTTTGGTTGTAGTAAGCCTATCTGTGGTGTCCCTACCTCCTCCCAAACACCCAAAAATGTTTTTTTTTAAAAAAGCTTTTTTTTCCAGCACAGATGTTCTCCCTAAGCCTGATCTTCCTCCGCTGACATGAATTCTTCTCTCTGGAGGCAAAGGGGCGTGAGGGAGAGTGGGAGGAATAGGGTGATATAAAGGGTGGCTGTGCTGCCATTGGCTGTCTGGTGCCAGCATGATGTGTGTGCTGGTGCCAGGTAACAAATTTTGCAGAGAAACAACATTACCCAAACTGCCCAATTCTGGGCTGGCTAATGACGCTGACAGAGGTGGAGTTAAACCTCTGGCAGCTAAGAGGTTAATATCTGTGTGTGCTGCGTTTCATAGCAAAATGCTGCACATACAGACTCCAAGTACCATGATTACTTCAAATCGCTGCTAAATCTCATGGCCATTACTCTATCCTAATTCTCCTTGATCCTTCTGCTGCCTTTGATCATCAACAGCTTCTTCTCATTCTCCGTAATATCGGTCTACGAGATACTGCTCTCTCCTGGTGCTCCTCCTACCTCTCACAGCACTTTTTCAGTGTTTATTTCAAGGACTCCGCCTCATCTCGACAATCCCTCTCTGTTGGTGTTATGTCCTTGGTCCCCTTCTGTTCTCAGTCTACACTGCCTCCCTTGGTAAACTCATCAGCTTCTTTGGCTTCCGTTATCATTTATATGCAGATGACACACAAACCTACTTGTCCTCTCCTGATCTCTCTCCGCCCATCTTGACTCGTGTCTCTGACTGCTTCTCCACCATTTCAAACTGGATGGCTGCTCACTTCCTTAAACTCAACCTGTCCAAAACAGAACTTCTGGTCTTTTCTCCCTTATGTGTTGCTACTCCTGTGTCTGTCTCCCTCCAAGTCAACGGCGCCACCATCACCTCTACCACACAGGCTCGCTGCCTAGGTGTTCTCTTTGACTCTGACCTCTCCTTCACCCCTCACGTTCAGTCGATCGCTAAATCCTGCCGCTTCCATCTCAAAAACATTGAGCGCATCCGCCCCTATTTAACACCAGACGCAGCTACGGTGATGGTCCATGCCATTGTCCTTGCTCGTCTTGACTACTGCAATCACCTTCTCAGTGGTCTTACATGTTCCCAGATTGCACCGCTGCAATCTATAATCTATAATGAATGCGGAGGCGAGGTTCATTTTCCTGTCTGCCCGCACCTCCCACGCCTCCTTCCTCAGTTTCTACATTGGCTTCCAGTTAGATATAGGGCTCAATTTTAGATTATGGTGCTTGTTTACAAGTCCCTACATAATGCTGCTTCAACCTACCTTTCCTCCCTAATACACAAGTATGTCCCGTCGAGGCCCCTGCGCTCTGCCAAAGACCTACGTCTATCCCCTGTCCGTGCTCCCACATCTGATGCTCACCTCCAAGACTTCTTCAGGGCTGTACCTTTTCTGTGGAATTCCCTTCCCTTCTCTGTGAGACTTTCATCCAGTCTCCACTGCTTCAAAAAATCTTTGAAAACTCACTTCTTTAAGAAAGCATATAATTTAAACTGTTAGTGGATTTTCATCCCCAACCCCCCCCCACCCCCAATGACTCCTCTCCTGCAAGTGTCAAAAATAACATACTAAGTTCCCAGTAAATACTTTTCTAGCAACCTGTTTTATTACCCCTACTTATACCTTTTGTATCACTATACCCCACTCCCTCTAGCATGTAAGCTTATTGAGCAGGGCCCTCAACCCCTCTGTTCCTGTACGTCCATTTGTCTGGTTACAATTACATGTCTATTTGTACAGCGCTACAGAATCTGCTGGTGGTATACAAATAATAAAAATAATAATAATAATGGTGCTTGGAGTAACACTTTAAGGCCAAAATAGCAAAATTGGAATAATTCTCCAGGTGGCATTGCTTCCAGTTCGGCTGTTTTGGTCTAAAAGTTAAAATTCACTATGAATTCGATTTCAATTATTGACAATACTCACTTTAGTGGATAACCCTGTAAGTATGCAAACACAAGCATACATTCC